TTGTTCGGGCACGGCACCAGGAATTGCCGCATGGCCAGCCGCTGCATCAAATGCGGCAAAAACCACAAGATCGACAACTGCGACAGCATCGAGGAAGCCACTCCCACATGCGCCAACTGCGGTGCCGCCCACAAGGCCACGAGTAAGGCCTGTCCGAAGCGGGCCGAATACGCCGAGATCCGGAAGAAGGCCTCGTCCAACAGCCAGCCCGGTCGCAAGAAGGTTCCAGAAAACAACGCGCAGAACTTTCCTCCGTTATCACGGGTCCAACCACGGCCAATTCCAGTGTTGGCGCCGCTCCCGCTCAACCAACAGTTGGCTGCTGCCCAGTTGGCTGCCGCTGCAGTACCCGGTCAAGCCTCCGGGCCATCGACGGATCCCCCTGCTCCGGGATTGGCCGGTACAACCGGTGAAGCTACAGACGATTCTCCGCTGTCAACGGATGAGATCGTCACACTGTTGGCCCAGGCCATCATCATCAAGCGCACCTGCGCAACAAGAACACAACAGCTCCAAGCTATCATCTCCTTCGTCGCTAATTATGGACCGTGAACCCATAAAGATCGCCAACTGGAACGCTCGCTCCGTACGGGCGAAAAACATTGAGCTTGCAGACTTCCTCCGCAAGCACGACATCGACGTGGGCCTTCTCACCGAGACCCACCTCAAGACCGGTGACAGCTTCTGGCTGCCCGACCACAGCATTGTCCGGCTTGATCGCACCAGCTCCAGGGGGGGCGGTGTCGCGGTCATCATCAAGAAAGGCATCAAGTACTGCACCCTACCCCACTACCGCACTTCCATCATCGAGGCCGTCGGCGTTGAGGTGGAAACATCGACCGGAAACGTCCGGTTCATCGTTGTCTACTGCCCCCGGCAATGTACCGTTAGCAATGGTACAGCACAGCAGTTCAAGAACGACCTTGCCATCATAACCCGCACCAATGCCCGCTTCGTAATCGGAGGGGACCTGAACGCCCGGCACGAGGCCTGGCGGAACTACCAGCAGAACCAAAACGGCCGCCTGCTATTCGACCATTCCCAGCATGGTCTCTATTCCGTCTGGTTTCCGGACGAACCAACCTTCACATCACCGGCGGGCAACCCATCGACGCTGGACCTGTTCTTGGCAAACACCAGATTAGCCAAGCCGGTTGCCGTCAACGACCTGAGTTCGGACCACCAACCGGTGCTGACCGAGCTGGGCTACAACGTGGCCCCTGCACCGTGCCAGCGGAAGGACTACCATCGAGTCAACTGGGTCCAGTTTCGACGCGTGGTCGACCGCCACATCGACGACAACCCACCACTCGACACAGTGGAGGACATCGACCGGGCTCTGGAGGGTCTCCATCAAGCCATATCCGTGGCTGACGAAGAGTGCGTTCGACGAGTTCCTGTGAGGGGTAAGTTTCAAGCAATTGATTCCCACACCAAACTCTTGATTCGGCTCAGAAATGTTCGTAGACGCCAGTTTCAGCGGACTGGGGATCTGCAGCGTAAATACGAAATGGTCGATCTGAATCGGCAGATCGCTTCCAGAATGGTCTCAATCCGGAACGAGAGTTTCGGGCGGCTCGTTCAGAACCTGGACGACCGTTCCAGACCATTCTGGAAGGTTGCCAAGGTGCTGAAGTCTCACCCCAAGCCCATTCCACCACTTAGAGTCAATGACGAACGGCTTATCACCAACGAAGAGAAGGCCAATGCGATTGGGGAGCACATTGCCCAGTCGCATTTGCTTGGCTCTAAAATCCCAAGTCCACTCGAGAACCAGGTTGCGCAGTGCGTCCTGACGTTAGATGCCTCCCCTTGTGCCGTCCCTCCAGAAGAACGGATTACAGAGGAACAAATTTGCTCAGCGCTGAAACACAGTAAGAACATGAAGGCTCCCGGGTTTGACGGAATATTCAACCTAGCGTTGAAAAATCTCAGCCCGAGGGTGCACTCGCTGCTAGCTGCCACCTTCAACAGATGCTTGGAGCTGCACTACTTTCCAAGCATCTGGAAGGTGGCAAAAATCATCCCGATCCGCAAACCTGGGAAAGACCCTTCACTACCGTCAAGCTACAGACCGATTAGCCTGCTCTCAGCGCTGAGCAAGCTGTTCGAAAAATTGATCCTCAGCCGACTAAACAAGTTTGTGGAGGAACATGACATTCTTCTTCCGGAACAGTTCGGGTTCCGTAAGGGGCATTCCACCAATCATCAGCTAGTGCGGGTGATGAATAACATCCGGAGTAACAAAGCTGTATCCAAGTCCACAGCCATGGCCTTGTTAGACGTCGAAAAGGCGTTTGACAATGTCTGGCACGACGGACTTATATACAAGCTTTGTAACTCCAACTTTCCACCATACCTTGTGAAAATCACCCGTAACTATCTCCAGCAAAGGTCGTTCAGGGTGTCGTTGAATAGTTCACTTTCGGGACAATTTCCGATCCCAGCAGGTGTTCCGCAAGGGAGTCTGCTGGGACCACTGCTTTACAGCATCTACACGTCGGACATCCCTCCTCTAGGAGACGGTTGCGTGTTCTTTCTGTTTGCAGATGACACCGCGATAGCCGTCAAAGGTAGGATGCCTCGTGAAATTACGAACAAGCTCCAACGATGCCTTGACACCTTTACTGATTATGCCACCACGTGGAAAATCAAAATCAACGCCTCGAAAACCCAAGCGATCATGTTCCTTCACAGACAATCATTAAAACTTAAACCGTCTCCCTCCTGTACCGTAATAATGGATGGTACAAGGGTCGAGTGGTCCACTGATGTTACTTATCTCGGGATGTTGTTCGATGAGAAGCTCCTGTTCCGCTCGCACATAGAGAAAACCCTAGTTAAGTGCTCCGCCTTGGTTAGGTGTTTGTATCCGCTCATTTGCCGCAGATCCCGCCTCTCAAGGCAAAACAAACTGGCTGTCTACAAACAGATCATAGCCCCCGCGATCTTCTATGCCGCCCCGGTGTGGGAATCGTGCGCTCAGACCCACAGGAACAAAATCCAGGTTGCACAGAATAGAGTGTTGAGGATGATCCTAGATCGTCCATTCGACACAAGAATAGCAGACCTCCATCAAGAGGCAGAAATTCCCAAAGTAGATTCCAAAATTGATGATATGACAACTAAATTTATTCAAAAATGCAATCTTTCTGAACATGCTTTAATAAGCAATTTGTACATAGTAGGTTAAGTGTATATAGTAGAGTAGGTTAGTTTTAAGCTGTAAATAGTAGTATTAAGTAGTTTCTCTTCAAATTCTAAAAACAAAACAAACCAATCCCACCAAGGTGGTCGACCGTGTACTAAGTCTAGGACTAATTCTGTAAAACAAATTTTGAATTTTGCCCATACCTAAAGATGAAGAAATCATTAAATCACTTAGTAAAAATTTATATGGTAATCGTCCAAGTTAAACTAAAATAAAGATCATTTAAACTAAAAAAAACGACCGTTCCATCATTGTCTATCCGATCGTCGACCCAGCAGCAGAGCAGCAGAGCAGCGGAAGCAGAGCAACGGCAGCAGAGCAGCGGCAGCAGAGCCTGGGGGCGAAAGGGCAACTACGCCGAGTGCGTTGGTGCCAGTGCTCCGGTATACTGGGCCGCCGTCATGGAATGCCCAGCTGCTGCAGTTCTCAGTCGGTCGTATTCACCGGGCAACTACGCCGAGCGCGTTGGAAAAATGGCCCTTTTCAGGGCCACAACATTATCAAGAAAGAGTTTAACGATTAATTTTCTAATGCCTTTCCGACACTTTTTTCATGACTTTCATCGGCCTCCTGATATTCATGTGATTTTGTGGTGGGATTTTTAGCTATGTGAAATTCACATGGTTTTCATCCATTAGATACCTATGTGGTAAATTTTTTGAGTATATCCTTCGGCAATCAAAATAAAGTTTGCACGATGGAAGCGCACATCGTAAATTTCGTTCATTTTAGTAATAATTAAATTGCCCCTCTCCCCCTACCCTCTGGCAGTACATGAAAAGCCTTTTTGTGAGGGGAATTTTTCAAAAGGATGCCGATTAAAATAATGGGTACCATTTTCTGAGGATGAGATGAGAACGATTCGTCATCCATATGAAGCGTGTCACGATCATTCCCAAGGTATTTTGTGTTCACCTACTAACCAGGCTCGGTTTTATTGTTCTATGAGCCCACAGTATAGGCGTAATAATAATCTAGAAGTTTCAATACGATTAACCGGTTGACTAAGCAAAGAAGACCGGAAGTCCCAACGGTAACGGTAAATGTTGAGCAATGAAGGAACAATACGCACACCACGATCATTTCTGAAATCTCAACCGTAATTTGCTAATGAATTTCATTCCGCTGCATCAATGTAGGCCATAAGTCCAGGGCCACCGCAGCTCTGCAAGGTAGGGGAAATGGATCTAAGATTGGGCCCATCGCTAAAAATCTGCTATTTACCAATCTTATCTATATGAACGTGTCGTTGGGACGTTACTGATGGATATTTTAGGGCGCTATTGAAAATTTAGTCGTTAGTTTAATTTTAGATATTTTTCCTTTGGTTTGTTTTTTTCCGTCGATCTTGTTTTCCGTGCTGAGCACCAATACTACCGACGTGCCAGGAAGGCAGCTCCCACACCTGGGCCCTACCTATCGACCCATCAACTCATGAACCGGGGACCAACGGCTTTACTTCCCATCCGAAGGAAGGCGTGATCAGAGATGTTATGCCTCAGAACATCCCGGCGGCGCCGACTGGGATTGAACCCAGGCCTGCTGGAGTGAGAGGTAATCACGCTTACCACTACACCACCGGCGCCGTTCCTAATTTTAGATATGGATGGAATGATACACTGCACTGGTTAATTTCTTGGAATTCAAGACACGCCTACACTAATCAACCATCATCGAACTTACTCGATGAGGATATCAATTAACTAGGGAGAGCATGACAGAAAGATTCAACCATGTTTTTAATGGATTCATTTTATCACTCCTTGCGCGGAAACTGTTTTGAAAACGAAACTCTTTACCATCAAATTGGTCGTCCTGAAAAGGACGGATTTTGTTAAAGGGTGGGAACTTCGATCGAATTTAGGCCTTCTTTTCGGTCTTCTTGGGCAACAGGACGGCCTGGATGTTTGGCAGGACACCACCCTGAGCGATGGTCACTCCGGAAAGAAGTTTGTTCAGTTCTTCGTCGTTGCGGATGGCCAACTGCAGGTGACGTGGGATAATACGGGTTTTCTTGTTGTCACGAGCGGCATTTCCTGCCAACTCGAGAACTTCAGCGGCCAGATACTCCATCACGGCAGCCAGGTAGACGGGAGCACCGGCTCCAACACGCTCGGCATAGTTGCCCTTTCGGAGTAGACGGTGAATACGACCGACTGGAAACTGCAATCCAGCGCGGCTCGAACGGGACTTTGCCTTTCCCTTGAGTTTGCCTCCTTTTCCACGTCCAGACATACTGCGAACGACACGAACAGTTCGATGCTGAAACTGTAATGATGACATTTCGACCGTCGAGGGTGGTTTTATACCTGCGTCGAGTAGCATATTATGAATACAGGGACGGTACAATAAATACTGTGGGTAGCAAAATACTGAAAATGGGATGAGTGTCGGTTGTCTCTACGGGCATGAAACAAGACAGCGTTGCCAGTATTCCTGAATTATTTGATTTTCCAGATTTTCAATCGTCTTGCCAGATACTTACCCAGATATAATTTACTAATATGTTATTACGTTTATTTCAAGAATTTTTAATTATGTTCCGGATTTTCCCATATTTTTTAAATATGTTGCTTTAGAGAATTTCCAGCCCAAAACGAAAACCGGTTGGACATGAGCGTTTCCGAATTCAGTCCAATAGAGGCGATGGGGGCAAGAAGACCATACGGGGCGAGATGGGCCACCGTTCGTTTGGGCATAATACCTATTAACTCAATCTATTTTTTTTTACAAACTTGTTGAAAATGCTTCTAATATGCATCTCCATGAAAATCGTATCAAAATTCAATTACATGTCTAAGATAATAATGGAAATGTAACATTAGCTCAAAATCTCTAGAATATTATAAGATATGCAGTCAAGAAAACAAGCATCGCATTCACTATATTACATTTTACTGATCTGCTGGTTCTACAGCGAGCAATACACGCAACTGTTGCTAAAAGAACTTATGTTTCTATTTCACTTGATTCCTGCATGTTATTTTCTAGTGAAAACCTGTCAAAACCTTAACTTTTACTAGGGTGCTCATATTGCCCCGTATGGTTGTTGATCGGAGCAAAAACTGAAATTTTTCAAACATAATCATTTATTCAGTCTATCATTCCAAAACCACAACCAAAACGGCCCTTTTCAGGGCCACCAATAATTCGACAAAAAGTTAGTTTTGAAGACAATTTCTATCCAGAATATCACAGTTACACTTAAATTTGGGGACTATACTGGGGTGTGGGAACGCTGGAAGGGGAGATGCTGTCTCTCTTCGAACTACCAACATCATTCCAAAGCTCCTCCAGGGCGACAGAGTAGAGCAAACCCAACAACATCAGCCCAACAAAACGGCCCTTTTCAGGGCCACCAAACTTTCGCAAAAGAGTTATTAAGGAATATTCCTAAAATATAATATACACAATTAAATACAACACATAACAGACGTTATCCAACGCCAACCCTGCGGTTGTATCTAGTATACAACCCTTCCAACTTTTTTCCTCTGTTCGGGACCTAACACTACTGCGACCAGTAAATTGATCTATTGTAGTATATCCCGTGTCTTTAGTTTAGTGCATGTCGTATTACTCCATCACTATTGAGAAATGATGAAGTATTCGATTTTTTTACAGTTGTCACTCTTGCATTTATCGCAAGGATCCGACTCTAATTGAAAGGTCCCGCTATTTATACCCTTCGGAGTGTTGAAACACCCTCCAAAGGCGCGCCCCTTTGTCAATCAAAATTGGATTCCTTAGCAACAAAATTAAGGTATGACACCGATAATGACCATGCATCAGAACCCTAGTCTTAACCACTTCAAACTAGGGAACAACGAATAGAAGATTAGGAATCACATAGATGAAGACAACTAACTCATTTTTTTTCCTTCTTTCAAGATCATCCTCGGTAGACAAAGCCGAGTCTTGTCACTATCAACTAGGCATAAAAGGTAACAAGGACTAAGATGTGTTCCTTGGATTACTGAAAAATCCTATTCCTCTAGTTTGAAGTAGTCAGGACTAGGAATCGGTGGTAGATCTTACATCCCGTAACGTACCACGAAAAGGTGATCTACCCACATTACGGGGCAGTTTGGTATGGCATTTGTGACCAGCATACATTTTCCGGTCGTATGAAACAGGCCAAAAACTGTCCAAAAAAACCCATACAAATTTTTGTTTTGAATAGCAAAATAGTGAACTTTTCGTGAACATTAACGGCAAAGAACTCACCAGCACTGGGAGACCGTGAGCTCCTGTCCACCTGTAATAAAACCATCTCGGAGCGGAGCGCTGACTGTGAGTGGCACGGTTCGATCCTCCAATACACGGAAAATTAATCTAACCCATATTTGAGAATCGTTCAATCAAATTCGAAATAACGTAGGCCAATTTTCCTAGCTTTTCCAGTAAAAACTAATCGAATATGAGGAAAATCGACTAACATTTTACTCAGTCCAGGATTATACTTATAGACTGAGTGAAACCTCTCTAAATTTTCCTCATATTCGAGAAGTTTTTCCTAAAAAGCTCGGAAAACTTTACTCTTTCTATGAGTGACCTACACGGCCAATTAGATCAACCCAAATTTGAGTTCAGTTTGCTCATAATCGCAGAAAGTGCAGGAACTCAGCGATGAGTAAATTTGAAAATGAGGAAAATTGACGAAAATTTTACTAAGTCTAGGAGATGTACCAAAAGACTGAGAGAATCCAATCTTTACTTTTCTCATATTCGGGATTTTTTTCCAGGAAAAACCTGAAAAACTTGAAGCAAATTTAATCATCGCTGAATTCCTGCACTTTTTGCGATATATGAGTAAACCAAACTCAAATTTGAGTTGATCTAATTGGCCGTGTACGTTTACGTGAATTTAAGTGATCGATAAACAATTATGAGTTAGATACATTTGCCGTGAGGAAAAACTTCTCAAATCTAAGGAAAATGGATAGAGGTTTCACTCAGTCTCAGTGCTGATAAAAAATCCTTTCTTCTACACTCAATTTAGCTGAATATGAAGAAAACCTTAACAGATAGACCAACTACCTGCATGAATTTGAATTTTGATGTAAACAAATTCCCTTGATCTAGGCAACCTCTGAGTATCAAAAATAACATTTGTTTTTCTTCATTCGTGGCTGGATTCTCATTATCGCCTCTGTTGTTGTAGATATTGATATTCGTCTTCATCTTGGTCGGGATGATATTGATTATTTTCATTTTAAACAAATATAGCGCTGAAGAACGTGGTTTTTAGACATAAGTCGACGGCAAATTATTGCCTCAAGCTGAACTGATGATAATATCGATGATTAGGGCAGTGTGGTCGACAATATTCAAAATAATCATTTTGCCCAAAATTTCGTTGATTATTTTGCTTTTGAGGATCACTTCTGATTTTGACAATTTTGGGTTTGATAATCGAGCACTGGTGAATATCAACAAACGCGTATTCGTTGATGTATAATAAACTCATTTGTTCATTTCGCTCGTTTCGTAACTACGAAGTTGAACAAACGCAATTCATCGACACTGGGTTGAAGCGCTACTCCTTGCGTGTGATGGTAAATGATAAAAACAGATACTGCTCCCCTAATAAAAATTGTATGGTTAATTTGCTTAACGACGTGTTCTGGGTATCATCCAAACCATTTGTGGAATAGTTCAATGATTTGGGTTATCGTTCGTTTATGGTTATTTTTTATTAGGGTCAGTCTATTAGTACCTCGAGAAAGTAGCCAACATTTGTGCGTTTTATAAAAAAAAAATAGAATTTATTTTTTCCAGTTTTGTGAAATCGCTGGTAGAAAGTCACACCTAAACTGCTTGACAAAGTGGTCAATTGAGTAAACTCGTCTAAATTTTGAAGGATCTGATCGTCCGTGTATTTGCGTTAATGAATGAAATTCCACTCAACTTCTAGTAACTTTCTTCGGCCGTGTACGCTTTGTGTCTCCGCTACGTTACGCTGGAAGCTATTTCTGATATGAGCTTCTCACGGCCGGTTCAAACCTAGAACTTTGAGTTGAGTTTTAACTCAAATTCACAAAAACCATGTTCACTCATCAAATCATTCATTTCATTTTTTCAAATTCTTATTGGAGTGACCTTACCTTGCCTTTTTTTATTTAATTTTGATAAGATGAGTAAATACTCAAATTTGAGGAGATTTCAGGGGCCATGCGCCCAAAAGCTTTCTTCTTGGATTTCATACACGTCCGATGAGAACCCTTCAGATAGCGAGTCACTTTTACTCAGTTGTATGAGAATTTTTCTAAAAACGGAGGTTTTCTACACTGCCGTTATATACATAACTGTCCCATGTTCTATGCAATCCTTATGCACCGTGGGACTCTTATGCGTATAACGGCAGTACACGGAGATGAAAAACTACCCAACATTAAGTACTTTTCCCCCAATAACCCAAATTTGAGTAAATCGCATATAGTAGTTTCCATTTGCACCAGCAAAAAAAAATACCTACTCTTGTATATATTCTACCCAAAATTAATGTCAATGTTGAAGTTGATGATAATGCTGACGTTGACTGCAACGTTGAGGTTGATGATGATGTATAAGTTGATTTCAATGTTGAAGTTGATGACGATGTTGAAGTTCATGTCAATGATGAAGTTTATGGGATTATTGAAATTGATGGTAATGTTGCTGTTGATAATAAAGGTGAAGTTAACAGTAATGTCATGTTGATGTCAATGTTAAAATTGACAGTGATATTGAAGTTGTCGACTAAGTTAAAGTTGATGGCAATATTCAAGACTATGGTAAAGTTGAAGGTCATAACGATGGTGAAGCTAATGGCAATGTTAATATTTTTTGATGGTTATTTTGAAGGTGTTGGTTATGTTAAGTTGACTGCAAAGCTCAGGTTAATGTCAATGTTCAAGATGATGATAATTTTGAGGTTAAATGCAATGATGAAGTTAATTTCAATGATAAATTTGATGGTATTATTGAAGTTTGACGCAAATAAGTTGACAGCAATATTAAAAATTTGCTCATGATAACTTTTATGCTTGTGATGTTAGCACGAAAAAAATAATTATTTTGATAAATTTCATCTGTACTCATTATAGTAGAGGAGGGGAAGAATATGGTAGATAATGTTGGGTATGGAAAAATAATAATAATAATTAACACGATAACAATACATATTGAACATATTAAAACTACAAAGCTGAGCCATGCTTAATTTGAGTAGAATTAAGTTAGCGTGGAGCATTAATACGATGATTTAAATAATCGCACACACTAACGCATGCGTGATCGAACCGAGGCTTATGTGTTTCGGCTTCTGCATGATTGAATTAGTCATTTGACCAATCTGCACGGTTGTGCATTTGCTTTCCGGATGGTCTTTGTTGCGACAAATGGCCGAGTCTTGCAACCTCACAAGTTTCTCTCTCAAATTTGAATTTAACTGAACGACAAAGTCCGTG